TACAAAATAGGATAAATTTACAGCTACTTTCACTTAATTCAATGAGAAGAAAGAGGTGTACTAACAGTGTTTGGACAGAATATCCTGTCTGCTTCTTGTACTATGGATAACTACTAAGAAGATAACAATGTACAGTGTATTGACTATCAAAACTGTCCTATTATTCAGCTGTGAAACTGTCTCATTCATATTTATTTCTCAATAAAAAAATTTTTTAAAAATAAAAAATGTTGTAAGCCCCACTTGTTATTAGCTCCACCAGTGACTCTGCTAATAGCCATGATTGGAAGCAAGAGGTTCTCTTTTTGGTAAAAAGACTGGCAGGCCTAAGAAATGGCTGAGCTACTACACCTGAGCTGGGTTCTTACTACTTTGGCTGCCAGACTGGGAATGAAGCTAGTGTGATGCCTGGTCTGAGTAACTCTTTCCCTAGGATCCATAAGGCCTATATGACTTGTAGATAAAGCTTCATAAAAAAACAAAGGTGAAAGGCTGGCCAAATAGCTCAGTGGATTAAAGCACCTGCAAGCAGGTGCAGGGGCCATGGGTTTGATGCCTGCCCCATGCTGGCCCTGCCCCTGGGGCACGCTGAGATGTCAATTGAGACTGGGTGTGTTGGTGCGTGCCTGTAATCCCAGCTCTTGGGAGGCTGTAAACAGGTGGACCACTACGAGTCCAATCTAGCAGTGCGACCCTGAACACCCTGTAGAACCTTCCTTAAATACAAAAAAACCCCCAAAACACCAACAACCAAAAAACACAAAGGTGACTGTTGCTAAGAAGGTGGGCCTGAGGAAATGTGATGAGGCAGGTAGCTCTGTAGCTCTTTAATGCTAAAGTCCAGGCTACTTTCCTCAACTGTACAATGGGGATAATAACAATACCTATCTTGAAGAGTGGTTAAGAGAGTTGAGTTACTGACAATAAAAACTGTATTACTGAGTGTTTACTATATCATACCACAAACTGTTCTAAGAGCTCTAAACACATTAACTCACCAACTTCTCCTAAGTACCCTAGAAGTAGATATAGCTATAATGACTTTAAGATGAAGAAATCAAAGCAGAGAGACTAAATTATTTTGTTTCCTGGCAAATAGCAACTGTGATTTAAGTCTAAATAAGACTTTATGTTCACCAAAATAGTTCTCAAAGTTAATTTTAAAAAAAGGTAAAGAATACTTGACTTCTAAAGGTCTCATTGTGAACTCTGATTATGAAGAAGGTAGAAAGAGTAAGGGTGACTAACTTGGACAAAATCTTCATGAAGCATTCCTTGGTCTCTTTCCTAGCTAGCTTTTGGGTATCCATTACCTCTCCTCTTCTTTGGCCTCCCTCTCTCCCAGCTATCACTGTTATGACTGGTGCCCTAGGGACAGACTGTATAGAAGCTTGACATACTCAGCCCAGTATCAGCCTCACAGGGGCATACAGTGTTTTTAGGGAACTGATATGAAGCACTGGAAGTTAAAAAAAAATTTTTTTTTTTTTTTGAGACAGGGTTTTGCTATGTAGTTCACGCTAGACTTGAACTATGTGGCCAGGATAGCCTCACACGTGTGGTGACACTCTTGAGTGCTGCAATTACAGGTGCGTCCCACCTTGCCTGGCTTCAAAACTCTCGAAGCTATTTATGTCTTGAATCCAACCTACTTTTATGAGTAAAAAATAATATATAGAACAGTGACAGTAAACCTTTTAGAGCTTTTCAATGATACAAACAGCTCACTGTGCCACATGTGCTGTAGTTTTGCCACCACTGGTATAGGCTTGTGAACATTGGAGGAGTTCTACAATTTCCTCTAAGTTCTAATGTCCTGAAGCTTAAAAATATATTATTGCTTATCTTCTATCCCTCTTTCATAGGTAATGATTTTAGTTTCCTTTCAGCTGCCCACATAAGCTTCCCTGCATGATTTCTCAGTTTCCAATTTATGTTGTCCTCTCCTTGGAGTCCCCCATTCCATGTGTGAGTATACTCTGTCAACATAGCCCCAGGACAATCAGGCTTGGGAGTCAGGAACTCCCCAGCAAGCAAAGAACCCTTGTTTCTTGGCACTATTGTTGGCTGGCTTCCATTGGCCTCTGACACCTGTTCCAGATCTCCCTCTTGCTGCACTTCCCTCTCTAAGAGCAAAGACTCACCAGCACTGTTGGCTTCTGACTCCAGCAGGTGGATGTCATTGCAGTCCGCTAAGGAGTGCTCCAGGCAGAGCTGCAGGAAGCGAGCTTGGGTACGAGTGACCCGCTTCAGAAGTGACAGCAGGGCCACTGTCTGCTCACACTCATTCCAGCCCTTGAACCAGCCAGCAAGGATGCCCACCTGGTCTCGGAACATCATGGTGCCAGGCCTGGGGCCAGGGTGGGGGGGACGGCGGTGGCAAGGGCCAGCGCCGTCACATGGTCTCGGCTCTGGGCTCTTGTTATTTCTCCCCTGAGGGCCAGGGCTTGAAGATGTTCCCTGGCGTGCTGCCAACAGGTGATGAGGGGAAGAAGTCTGCTCACATTGGGGGAGGTCTTGGTCCAGCCACACCTCTCCACGCTCCTGCAAAAGGAAGCAAAGAGATCAGAAAGAATGAAGGGGCTGAAGCTGCCCTAGTGAGTGTGGGGTAGGGACAGGGGAAATGAAAGTCTCATGCCTTATTTGTGTGTGTGTGTGTGTGTGTGTGTGTGTGTGTGTGTGTGTGTGTGTGTGTCCAGCTCAGCCCACCAGGGGGCGGGGCGGGCTGGCTGGCATGTGGTGCTGGGGGATTGAACCGCAATCCCTGTGCTTTGCTTGGCTTAGCTTGTTCTAAGTAGGTGCTTTAGACCACTGAGCCATCTCACCAGCCCCTCATGCCTTTTTTAGAGTTCTTGTTCTGAGGAGCTCCTGGGAGAAAAATGAAGCCAGTCCCAGTTACTAACCCAACTTCCCCCCAGTCTTCAGATCCAGAAAAAAAGATTAAATGGCACCCTAGAGATTGAGAAGATGCTGTCTCTCATATAGATGGTTACAGACCCAAAGGAAGCATATTTAAAGCAGAGAGGGTGGGCACCGCGCGGGAGCGGCGGCGCGGTGAGGCGAGATGGTGTCTAGGGCTCGCAGTGCCAGCTGGTCGCTTCACTTTTGCCAACCTGCCGGTCATTATGCCGAAGAGGAAGTCTTCAGAGAATATAGAGGGCAAAGACGGATCCAAAGTAACTAAACAGGAACCCCTGAGACACTCTGCCAGATTGTCCACGAGACCTGCTCCACCGAAACCTGAACCTACACCGAGAAAAACATCTACCAAGAAAGAACCTGGACCGAAGAGTAACCAGGAGCTAAGGGCAAGCGGGAAGAGAAGCAGGAGGCTGGTGCGGAAGGTACTACGCTGTCTGAAAATGGTGAAACTGAAGCCCAAGAGGCACAGAAAACTGATTTTGTAGATATCAAGGGAGAATAAATTGGCGCAAAAAGTTGGGGTGATTTTATGTCCCTCTGGGACACCATTTAAAAGCTATTTTTACCAAGTATTTTGTAAACGCTAGTTTTTTAGGACTCTACTAGTTGGCATACAAAGTATATAAGGGTGCACATTTTACTCGCCTAGTCATGCTTTTGGAAGTTCTTACCGTTATCAAAAAGAAATGCCATCCTAGTATTGGAAGCTGCATATAGAACGGATGGGGCAGCGCTTGCCGCCACTCGAGAGTGTGGTCCTGTGCATATTGTGCTGCTTTTACTGTGCAGGTCTGAATTTTTTACGCAATTTTTCTAGAGCAATAATCAGTGGTGCTTTTGTACCTCGGTTTTATGTGATTTTAATGAAACATGGATAGTTGGGGCCACCTGTTTGACTGTGTATGGCTTGAAATAAAAGGTGTTCTTGTTTGCAAAAAAAAAAAAAAAAAAAAAAAATTAAAATAAAATAAAAAATAAAAAAAATAAAGCAGAGAGGGTAAGGCTGGGGAGGTAGTTTGGTGTTCTAAGTGCCTGCCTGAAAATCACAAGGACCTGGGTTCAAATGCCGGTCCCAAACCAGGCATGGTGGTGCATGCTTGTGATCCCAGTCCTGGGGAGGCTGAGATAGGAGGGATCCCTATGAGTCTGAGCTGCATAGCAAGACCCTGTACCAAATAAAAAGATTCAAAAAAATTAAAGCAGAGAGTGAGCTGAAAAGATGTTTTCCAGAAGTGGAAATTAAGCACAGTAGGGTTTTGTTCACCTGTAATAGCAGCGCTTGTGAGGCTGATGCAGGAGGATTCCTGAGTTGAGTGACAAAGTGAGTTCAAGGTGAGCCTGAACTGCATAGTGAAACTCTTTCTCAAAACAGACAAAAGGAAATAAGCTGTGCATTATGGGGAAGACCTGAATTAGTGGAGATCTGGCTCAAAGTCACAAGACTAAGGTGACCTGACCCTAAGCATGTCTCTTTATCTTGCTTGTCTTTGGTCACTTTTTCTGAGAGATGGACATAGTGAATGCTCACCTAACCAAAGGAACCTAAAGCACTTTTATTATTTCACATGAAAATCCAAAAATGCTTGGTCAGTGGTGGATGGTGACCCAGGAGGAAAGCTTGATATCATACAGATAACCATCTGGTCAATTACTGTACTGGTTGGGAACCTATTAGCCCTTGGGTATGGGCATTGACAGAGACCATCTGAAAGGTCACTGACAGGATGACAAGTCTTCATCTCCAACACAGCTATCCCACTCTGGAAAGACTATAACTCTAATCTCTCTCTTTTTTTTTGAGACAGGGCCTTGCTACAAATTCAGTGGTCTTGAACTCACTATAGAGCCCAGGCTGGCCTCAAACTTATGGCAATCTTCTTGCCTCAGCCTCCCAAGTGCTGAGATTACAGGTGTGTACTATCATACTCCACACACCTCTCATCTCTTATAGACTGCACCCATCCATCCCTACTGAGATAATTCCTCTCAGCCCTCTTCTTCATTCCCCAGAAGTCTGTTTCAGACTCAAGCTCTCTGGACTAGGAAGTTCCCATATCACCAGCCTATCATCCAAACTCCAGTCAAGAGGACCTGAATCTGAGGGGAAGGGGGCAATTCAGAAGTAAAAAAACTCCCACACAAGAAAGTGTCCAAACTCCTCTTAGGCAGAGGAATACATAGAAACTGTTTTTGTTTTTTTTTATTTTAAGGCCCGAAGATGTCTTTTAGGGGATTTCTGGTTTGCCGTGACTATCTGGGTTCGAACCACAGAAGCTTCAGCTTGAGGGCTTTCTTTAAGCAATCACTTAAACAACTGAGCTATTGGGCAGGCCCCCTAGAAACTGTTTTAACTGGGCCAACAACAGACCTATTCTTCAGTGGACTGCTTTCTGGTATTTTTTCTGAAGCCTTTTTCTAAGTGTCCTGAGCTCCAGGGTTTTACTCAATATTGGAAACCTGCAGGTTGTCTATCTTGCTATCAGTATCCTTGGCTCCACCCCAAAGCTACATTTAACTCTATCTCCCTCTGGCTGTGAAAGGATGGAAGTTTCTTGGACTGAGAACTCTTCAGGGAAACAATGAACATGCAGGCTCAGGTCTGCATGTTAAGAGAGCTACTTTCAACTCCCTGAACTTCCACATCCCTACTGAAGAGGGCAGTGAGGTATATCTGACAATGCCAAGACTTGCCTCCCAAATTCCGTGTTATCCCTAAACAAAGCCAACTGGCCTGTCAATCCATTTGGGTATTAGAAACAGGGAAGAGTGTGAGGGCAAACAAAACTGGTTCTGAGTGAAAAAGGCCTCTTAGTAATTTTTGTCTTTTTGAGACAAGGTCTTGTTATGCTGTTAAGGCTGGCCTTGAGCTTGCAACAACTGTCCTGCCTCAGCCTCCTGAGTGCTGAGATTACAAACATGTGCCACCATGCCTGGCTCAGTAATCTTTTAAGAGGAGAAATCAGATTCTGTCCTCTACTGGCTTAAAAACTTTGCAGTTTATATCCAATCTTGGCCAAAAAAGTCCCATGGGATTCTTGTGGCCTCTCTAACCTTGTGTACCAAGTTACTCTTGGATTCCTCTTTCCCTAGAGGATGGCTCCCATGTGTTACTCAGTTCGTAGCTCAATATCACTTCCTAAAGAAATAAAACAGGCTGGGGAGATAGCTCGGTAGAATAAGCGCTTGCCTGGCAAGCACAAGGGCCTGAGCTCAATCCTCGGTTCTGCAAAAAAGAAAGAAAACAATGGGAATATTTATCAGTGGGGAATGATTAATAAACTGGGGCTGACCCCACACTACACAATATCATGTACTATGAAAAATGATGGTATATGCCTGCAACCCTGAAAGCAAGATTAAAATACACACAAACACACATACACATGTGTATGTGTATATATATTGTATATAGTGTCTGACTTCTATCTACAAGCTTGGAGGAATAGAGTAAATAGGTACAATGAACAGCAATATATATAACATGATGCCATTTTCATTTAGAAAAAAAGCCATATACAGAGCCCCTTATATCTTACATATAAATATAAGAATATAAAGAAATGTGTAAACCTGACATGGTGGCACATGCCTGTAAGCCTCAAGAACCTAGTTCAAAGTAAAAAGTAAAAAAAAACGAGGGCACACAATAAAGGTCAGCAGTAGAGTTTCTCTGGGTCTGATAGCCAATACCACAAAAATAAAAAGAGAATGAAGGCAGGCAGGCAGATTGGCTGGTTATTTTTTATTTGTTTTAGTTGACAGGGTCTCTCTATATATTTAGGCTGTCCTTGAATTCACTATGCAGGCCAGACTGGCCTCAAACTTGCAGTGATCTTCCTACCTTAGCCTTCCAAGTGCTGGGATTATGAGAAATTATTAAGATTTTAAAAAATCTTTTTGTAGTGCTGGGGATTGATTCACTTATGCTAGGGAAGCAAGTTGCCACTAACTACATCTTCAGCCTTTAAAAATTTTACTTTGAGGGCCAGTGAGATAGCTCAGCGGACTAAGCGTCTGCTTAGGCAATCGTAGGGACCAGGGTTCAATCCCCCGCACCACATGCTGTGCTTGGTCCTCCCAATCCCCTCCCCCGCTCCCGTACTGAGCCAGCCACAAGAGTCCAGGAGTGGTGGCACACACCAGTGCTGGGGAAGCTGAAAACAGGAGGAACAACATGAGTCTGAGCTGCGTAGTAAGACCCTGTACCAAATACATTATTATTATTATTATTATTATTATTTTAACTTTAAGATAGGGTCTCACTAAACTGCCCAGGCTGGGCTCAAACTTGGGATTTTCCTGCCTCAGCATCTTCAGTACTTGTAATTATGAGCACGTGCCACCACACCAAAGCCTTAACACTGTTATAATTTTGTACTTTTTACTAGCTGCAAGTGATTAAATCATTTTTGTAATAGAAAAAAACATTAATTTTAAAGAACTTTAAGACTGCATTCTACTTCCTAGCTTAGTGAGAAAGAATACTGGAATTAATTATCAGTATTTGTCCAGGATGCAGGCGGCCGAGCGGTCACTCATATGCCTGGAAAAAAAAAAGTTTTCCTCCCCAGCTCCAGCATTTTGTGGCTTTCAGTCCCAAGGAGGCAACAGCTGCCTCAACA